CACACACACACACACACACACACTCTCTCACACAAACACTCTCACACTCACTCTCTCACTCACACACTCACACACTCTCTCACACACTTTCACACTCACACACTTACACACTCACTCACACACTCTCTCACACAAAACAAGAACACGCTACCACACGCACAGTGTAAAACACGTGAACAAACAGGCCACACACAGAAACAAACCACACACAAATACACAGAACTACAAACAAGCAAATTCACATGCACTTTTGGTTTGATTTTAAAACAGATTATTTGCAAGTAATGCTAATGGTCCATCCACTAATTGTGGTCACATCTGGAAGTACAGTCAGTCATAAGAGGTCATTTGGTTCACAGTTGAAACACACACACACACATACACACACAAACTGGTTTCCATTTTTTGTGGGGACTCTCCATAGGCGTGATGGTTTTTATACTGTACAAACCATATTTTCTATCGCCCTATACCAACTCTACACCTAAACCTACCCCACACAGGAAACTTTCTGCTATTTCAGATTTTCAATACACTCTATTCTATGTGATTTATCAGCTTGTTTCCTCATGGGGACCAAAAAAATGTCCCCACGAGGTCAAAATTTACTGGTATTACTATACTTGTGGGGACATTTGGTCATTAGACATTTGGTCTACAAAAATCTACTATTTTTCTTAGCAGACACTTTAATCTGCAAGTAAGAACATTTGCTGAAAATGTACTCACACTCAGGCCATCCAATATGTAGATGTGAAGTTTCTTCAACTTAACAGATTTGGAGAAATTTTGCATTACATCACTTGTTCATCAGTGGATATTCTGCAGTGAATGGGTGCCATCAGAATGAGAGTCCAAACAGGAGCATGGTGGAGTCCCCACGTTCACTTGCAAATGGTGCTTGAAGTAATGCTAAATTTGCCCGCATCTGTTCCGATGAAGAAACAAACTCTTCTACATCCTGGATGGCCCGAGGGTAGGTAAAATTTCAACAGTTTTTGGGTGAGCTATTCCTTTTAAACCAATTATCTTGAGTGTTCAGAACAACCAAAAAAAAAGAACAAATTCAAAACAAACCAGAAGATTCTTCTGAGCTGTGTACAACAGAACATCATTATGTATGCAAGCCACAACCTCTAAAATATTTTCAAATGACTGTTTCAAGGAAGACAGGAACACAGCAAGCCATCGGCGCAGTCCACTGGTCATGTTGGATGATATCTCATTGCCTAATAAACAGCATGTATCACAGGTAGCCGGATTTATAGTGTTGCCCTAGCTGAGCGAATCACGCTGTATATCACGCCACACTGAAATTCTCTCCAGTTATGGCCGCGGACAGGGAGTCTAAACTGCCTTGTCATCAAAATTATGGAAAGTGAGACTAACAACACCTGTGACAGCAGAGTATAGACCCTCTATCACTCCTGCAACACAGATTTACTGCTGACATGTGAAGCCCAGGGACAAATCCGCTACAGACCCCTATATGCGCATGCAAACACACACAGGCCGGGTTTAGGAAGGAATATTTCCGACACATATGTTCACGATCCACCACACATACACACACACACACACACACACACACACACACACACACAACACACACACACTCTGCTTGGAGGGGAACCAACATCTATCTGAGTTATGATTTCATTTTCACTGCAACAAAGTTTTACGGCATTGAGCTGAAGGTGGTGAAGAGACGCACACACAGACACACACACACACTCACCGAGTGTCGAGTAGTAGAAGGGGAAGAGGGTGAGGTCGCTGGAGAACTCAGGAAGAGCGTAGAGTCCTCCAGGCAAAGAATTCCACATCAACCTGCTCCGGGACATGTGTGTCCGTATCCTGTCATGGATAATCTGTGAAAACAACAAATATCAATATTATTTACAGTCACAATTAGCATTATAGGTGCTGCGATGAACTAATCATGAAAAATACTGATTGTGAGTGCTTTCAATGTGTTAAAATTGTGCTCATTGTTTGTGCTTAAATGAATTCATGATATACAGTAACTGCATGAGTTGTATAAACTTAGAATTGTGCATTTCTGCCATATGAACATTACTTTGACACAGTCACCTCTGATAAACAGATCACTCTTAATGGTAATGTAGAAACATTCATTTTCTGAAAGCTGCTTTGAAATGGTGCCGTGAAAAGCTCTATTCAAATAAATGTGAATTGAATTGAATGTTTTAGCTGTGGTTAAACCTTGGAACCAATGACAGCCAGTTTCTGTGAGCGTATAAATGCTGTGTGCAATCACAGGCATTTTAATTCCAATAAACACATAAAAACAATCTAATGAGTGATGTCTAAACAGTCTGATCAGTGCTTTGAAATCAGTGCTTTTGAAAAAAGTTTGGAAAGTCTATAGATTTATATTCTATATTGCATTTTTATGTCAAATAAAATATGAACTCCTTCATATTGATATTTTAAGAAAAACTAAAATATTATTCTTCGTATTTATTTTTTCCTTTCTAAAATGGTTACCAATTAATTTAATACAGACTGTTTTTTATCTGTATTAAATAAATTGGTCAGTAGCCTCTGGTTACCCAGAGACATTCAATAATTTTAATAATTTAACAACACATCCACAGGTTTATGGATCTCTGATGTTGGCTAATGGTCACATGACATGCAGGCAAACAAATAAAATATTTTTGACACCTTTTAGTAGGTGTTTTATTTTGTTTGTTCATATTTTTATACCATTTATTCAAACGTTTATGCTTTATTTAATGTCCATTTAGAAATACACTATTGTTCATTGTTAATTTAACATTTGATAAATGTAGTTAAATGGTGAAAAAAATATATTGGTACTTGTAAAAAAATAACATTAACCAAGTATTGTTTATCATTAGTTCATGATAGCTAATAGATTTACAATGCAAACAAATGTGACTATTGTAAAGTATAAAAAAGTATTGTAAAGTGGAAAATGATAGACAGACAGAGAGACAGATAGATAGATAGACAGAGAGACAGATAGATAGATAGATAGATAGATAGATAGATAGATAGATAGATAGATAGATAATGGAAGGCCACTTCGGCCACTGAATAATTCCGACATTTTGTCACAATTTTTTTTCGTGAGTTTACTCTGAATTGCATGATATGCAAGATATAAGATATAATTGCAAGATATAAAGTCACAATTCTGAAAAAGAAAGTCAGAATTGTGAGACACAAGCCAGAATTGTGAGTTTGTATCTCAACAATTCTGAATTTAACACACAACTGCGAGATTATATAAAGCAATTCTGAGAAAAAAAAGTCAGAATTGTGAGATGTAAACTCGCTATTGTGAGATAATTAGTCGTAATAAAAAAAAAATATATATATATTTTTTAAAGAGGTCATATGATGTTGCTAAAAAGAACATTATTTTGTGTATTTGGTGTAATGAAATGTGTTTATGCGGTTTAAGGTTAAAAAAACACATTATTTTCCACATACTGTACATTATTGTTTCTCCTCTATGCCCCGCCTTTCTGAAACACATCGATTTTTACAAAGTTCATCGGTCTGAAAAGCAAGGTGTGCTCTGATTGGCCAGCTGTCTAGTGCGTTGTTATTGGCCGAATACCTCAAACGTGTGACGGAAATGTTACACCCCTTACCATATTGTGATGCCTTGTCCTGCCGGAGCGATGAGACAGAAACATTAAAACCCATTACAAACGAGGCATTTGTTGCATCCAGTGGGGACATAATTATGGATTATAATGACTTATTTTGTATTTTTTATAAAATGCGCTGCACACATCTGAATATTTGGGTTGGACGGTTCTGGAACAGTGTTGTAAAAACAACTTAACCACTGATTTCTAGTCGTGTCCTCTTTTGGAAGACCAAACAAAGTAGTTTCGCTTTCACAACGAATCACACAGCGCCTTCACGACATGGCGGCGGCAACAATTTTTTTTATAAAATGCGCTGCACACATCTGAATATTTGGGTTGGACGGTTCTGGAACAGTGTTGTAAATACAACTTAACCACTGATTTCTAGTCGTGTCCTCTTTTGGAAGACCAAACAAAGTAGTTTCACTTTCACAACGAAACACACAGCGTCTTCATGGCGGCGGCGGCAACAACAATACTACAGTGAGAATAAAAGTTATTCTTTCTTTGCATGAACATTTGGGCGGCGTTATGCAAATCTTGCAAATCAATATCGTGACGTAGACATGTGGGGGCGTGTTAGGTCGTTTTAGGTAGGCGTGACTAATCGCATCATATGACCCCTTTAATTCTGTGGTGAAACTGGGTTTCATAAGATAGATAGATAGATAGATAGATAGATAGATAGATAGAAACGCAAAAAATGCAAAAAACTGCATTATTATACTTTAATTTTGCTTATGACTATGCCTAAAAAAATAAATAAAAAAAAAATCAACTTGGCAGACCATCTCTATCAGTCTTTGAAGGCAATGCATAGACAATATTCTCAGCAGTATGCACACAGGTCTAATAACTCAAATTAAACACATTAATCTTGTTTTATTACAACACTAATTAATCACAATCTGCCTCACCCCCATCACAACGGGGTGTGAGAGATCATAAACCAAAAATAACCTGTAAAACACACGCACGCACGCACACACACACACACACACACACACACACACACACACACACACACACACACACACACACATTTACTTAGCTATCTAAATAGGGACATTACATAGACTTCTATTGTTTTTATATAAAGATAGTTATACACGTTTTTAACCTAAACCCACCCCACCACTAATCCTATCCCCTCTGTATTTTTACAAAAAAAAAAAAAACTTTTGTTTACTTTATTTTTAGACCAGTTTTACAAATGAGGACTTCCCAAATGGAGGTTTTTGGCAATTTTGTCAGGTTTTGCTAAATTTTGGGTACAAATTTGTCCCCAAAACATGGTTAAGTAGACACACACACACACACACACACACACACACACACACAGACACACACAAATCATTTTATGTCCAGAGTCCTCCTCTGCTGGGCTTGATTGGTTCTGTCTCTCCCCAGTCTAGAAATGCACAGGCCAATTAGGATCAACTACAGTCTAATTAGAGAACCCTCATGTCAGTGTGTTTGTGTATCTCTGTGCCTTTACATGTTTTAATGTGCTGTACGTGAAGTGTAGTGATTTTGTCAGATCCACGCAGCAAGCGAAGCATCTCGTTGGTCTTGTTCTGTGGAGCGTTTAATTACATAGCATTTATTCCTGTATGCACACACACAAACACCACACATGCACGAGTGCTGAAAGACTAATTATGTAGTTTGTCAACATGGAATGGCATGGACATCACACTGTAACTACCAGTCTACGCAGAAAAGTGTAAATGTTTTTTTTCAATGTTGCATTTTAATAGGCCTAAACCTGGAAACAAGTTATTATTTTAGCACTTCTACTTCCACCACCCTGAAGTCAATGAATTTTTTAAATGGTTAAATGCCTAAAATAAGGCCAGTGGTTAACACAAGCTAAATATATTTTCACAGGTTTTTTTTCCACACTTGTGTGTGCTTTTAAAGCCTTTACTTGGCATGAAACAGAGAGGCACGAAACTACAGAGGTTGATTAAACCATCACGTTGAACAGTAAAACTACTCACTAGTCCGCTTTTACAAACTGAATAAGTTGTTATTGATGTTGATAGTGTCATTAGTTTAGAGTAGGGTGACCATACGTGCCATTTTCCCAGGACGCATCCTGGCCAGGATTTCTATATTGCCTAAAATATCTAGGTTTTGGCTTTGTTTGCGTGTGCAGACCGATCGGTGTATGACATCAAAATACCGAACCATCTCTTTCTTACCTTTTTATAATCTGAAGAACCTTCTTTTCCCACAAAGAACCTTTTGTGAAACAGAAAGGTTCTTCAGATTTTAAAGGTTCTTTATGGAACCATTTAGACAAAAAGGTTCTTCTATGGCATCGTGAAGCACCTTTATTTTTAAGAGTGTACTGTACATTTGTTTTTTAACTTCTGCCAATCATTTTTAGGCTTCGTTCTGAGCAAAATGTATAAGAATCAAAAACTTTTGTTGGTCACAGAGCGTTAATCCAAATCCAGTGGAATATAATATAAAAACTAACTAGGTTGGTATAATACATTATTATTTTCATGTTTGAATCGCAAGGTATCATTGGTGATGTGATCTCAACATGGCATCCTTCTCCCATTCTCTATGTTGAATAAAAGGCTTTTCTAATCCATTGATATGGATTAGTTAATTTTTAATCACTTTAAACATTTGTCTGAAGTGCAAATAATTTCTTTAGAAATAAATAATTTTAATGAGGAAAAATGTAATTAATTTATTTAAAAGTGAGTGAGTGAGCAAACTGAGAAATGCTCTTTTCATTGTCTTTGTATCTTTCTGTCATTTGTCTTTGATATGAAGAACTACGGTTCAGTCAGAAGGAGGGCAAATCTAGACACTGGGCTTGAAATTTCACACACCGTCATTCTGTTGAAAACGTTCAGAGCGGAACAGAAGCAGGGATTAGGATAGCTCTGGAAAGAGACCAGCCTCAGGGGCTGCAAAAACACAGCATGGAAAAGTGTCTCTTCAGTGACAGGAAACATGTTGTTTACTCATAGTCCCACAATGTGTGACACAGGGTTTTCAATGAGGTTGAATTAAGCTACTTTATTGCAATGGTTCCTGCAACTGGTGGGTTGCAACAAAAATGAGTCACAAATCTATTCTTGTCATGGTCAGCAGGGAAAAACAACTCAAAATGCAAATAATAAAATCAGTGTTATTTTATTATCATATTTTAGTATTTGAGGTACTGTTTTAGTTTTTATTTATATTTTGAACAATTTTCTATTTTTTTTTTACATTTTCATTTTAAATTTAAGTCAAAGTAATTTGGTTGTGTTCCTTGTGTTTAAATAAATGTTGCTTTGGCAACTAGCTGAAATAAAATAAGTTATTATTATTATTATACATTTTTTTATTTCAGTTTTTCGGATTTTACTTCAAGTAACTTTTTTTGTGGTTTTATTTTTAGTGAACTATAATAACCCTGCATAAAATGCGATATAAAAATATATAACTATATATATAAAAAACTAAACAAACAAGTTCAGAAATTAAGTAATGTGTAATAAAATGGAATGACACAGAGAAAAAGTATTGAACACATGAAGAAAGGGAGGTGCAAAAAGGCATGGAAAGCCAAGACACCAGCTGAAATCTATCAGTAATTAGAAAGCAATCATGCCGCTTGTCAGTGGAAATTAATATTAACTGGATCAGTCCCAACACCTACAGTACCAGGATGATGAAGATGAAACAAGGGAGGACATTTCAGCAAGACAATGATCCCAAACACAGCCAAGGAAACTCTCAATTGGTTTCAGAGAAAGAAAATAAAGCTGCTAGAATGGCCCAGCCAATCACCTGACTTGAATCTAAAGATCAGAGTTCATAGAAGAGGCTCACAGAACCTTCAACATTTGAAGACTGTGTGGAAGAATGGGCCAAAATCACTCCTGAGCCATACAGGAGGAGTCTTCAAGCTGTCATTACCAACAAAGGCTTTTATACGAAGTATCAAGTACATTTCAGTAGTTACTTTTTCTCTGTGTCATTCCATTTTATTACACATAACTTAATTTCTGAAATTATTTGTTTTGTTTTATTTGTATGTATGGATTACTTGGGTTGTTACCAACATCTGGTGAAAATTTAATGTCAACAGCACCTTTAGAAATATATTTCTGTCATGACAACTCTCGGAGGGATTGGCATGGTAATGTACATGACAATGTTAATGTATTTGGTCTTGGTGGAATAGATCTGCTACGCTGCTGCTGCAGAGCAAGTATTGAGACTTGCTACTGCCAATACATCCACAACATGCTGCTGTGAGCATGTAAGAAATATTGCTGCTGCAAATATAACATACGTGAAATAACCCCCATATACCATACACGAATCACCTTGTAGCAGATCTATACAGGTGGAACTGGGGAAGGTGGAGGGTTTCTGAAGCAAGCTGCAACTGCTACGGCAAGCACTAATCATATATTTGAATGCTGAGCAGCGAGCTCATTGGCTACCGATACAAGAGAGAACCAATCAGCTGTGCTATGTGATAATGACGTCATTAGGTCAGATTGAGTTAGACCTATCAGACTGCACCATCTAGAGTTTCATGCCAGAACTCTGTATTTACTGAAAAAAATGGTGACATGTTCAATACTTATTTTACCTGCTGTGTATATATATATATATATATATATAACATTTTAAAAGGGGTTAAAATGTAAATTAATAAATCAATTACAAATGAGCATTTTTAAGCATTACATTTAGCTTAATTTTAATCATTGTTTATGTTAAATTATGATTAAGTTAAATAAATTATTTTAAATACGTATTGCAAATAGATATACAAAAGCAACATGCCAACGCTTTTTAAAAGCAATTTAAAAGATGCATTTAAAAAGGATTTATTATTTATTGTTGCATTATAAACTTGAATAAATTAAACCGTTTTACATACAGTAAGTTTATTTATAATATAATCTGGAAAGTGATATTTATTTAAATTTTTTTTAAATTCATATGTTTATAATTATCATGAAGAATCATTTCTTAATTTAATTTAATTACATTTTCTTCATTTGATTAAAGTGGCACTCCTGGGCCTCAATAGTCAGGAGCATGAAACAAACCAAAATTTCAATTCAATCTGATGTAATGTTAATATTTTTTTCATCGTAATTTTAAGGCATTTTTGTAAATTACAATTTAAAGACAGCTTTGATACTGTTTTGTGTAAAATATGGGACTTGGGGGAAGTCGTGGCCTAATGGTTAGAGAGTCGGACTCATAACCCAAAGGTTGTGGGTTCGAGTCTCGTACCGGCAGGGATTGTAGGTGGGGGGAGTGAATGTACAGCGCTCTCTCCCACCTTCAATACCATGACTGAGGTGCCCTTGAGCAAGGCACCAAACCCCCAACTGCTCCCTGGGCGCCGCAGCAAAAAAATGGCTGCCCACTGCTCCGGGTGTGTGTTCACGGTTTGTGTGTGTTCACTGCTGTGTGTGTGCACTTTGGATGGGTAAATGCACTTTGGATGGGTAAATGGGTCACCATACTTGGCCACATGTCACGTCACTCACTTTTAAAACACTGTACTGATCACTGTGGTGATATTGGTGAAGTTGGTGAAGCTCCTCTGTCTGCTTTCTGAACACATTTATAGGCAGTCATATTTCTGGCAGTGACGTCTGGCAGTTGTCCTGTTATTAAAAGACTTGTCCAACACCTTCCTGAGATGAAGAGCACAAAGTTTCTATTCCATCTAGCTGACCAAGGCTGGACTGTACCCCGGCAGAAACTTCTCAAAGAGACGTGTGAGGGAATGTTTGTGTAAATCCGTCTGCATTTTTATATGTTGGAGAGGTCTGGAAAAGACCAAGTGCGTTTGATCATGGCAGGTATCATCTTCTTATGTGTGACAGCAACTCATGATGAAAGCTTTTGCAGAAAACAGAAGATGTCAGAGAGGGAGAGAGATGGAGAGAACAAGAAATGAGTGAGTGTGAGAGAGAGATAGAGACAAAACAAAGCATATGTCAAGAAAAAGACATATGATCAGCATTAACTATTACAACTAAATTACCTATATGGACTATATATGATGAAGGATGATACTGAGATCCGGCAGGATTTTATGGAAGAGGTATGGAGCCAATTAAATTAGAAAATACAGTAGAAAGTGATAGAACATGAAAAAGTAATATTTAAAAATGTCAGTGTGCAATGTCATTTTTAAGACTTTTTTTAACATTTATATGATAAACAGTTTTGATACTACATGTCTGTTAGGTCACCATATGGCTTAACTTTAGAACTTTAAGTGGAACTATAACCATAAAATTTAAAAAATCAAAGAGAATAGCTCAAAACAAATACAACTATGAGAAACAATATCGTTGGAACGATTGTCAGAGTGATTCTTTTCCAGCCAATCAAAATCCTTCCTACGTTAAAGTGTGAAAGTGTGCACTGCAATTATGCTCACATAACGAAAGTGCACACATAAAAATAACATTATTGCCTTCTGGTGTGAACACAAATATAGTTATTATCCTTTGTTTTGTGTGTGAACAGGCCTTAAGAAAGAGTCAAAAGGGTTATTTCACACAAAAGCTAAAATTCTTTCATCAGAATATCTTGTTTTGTGAAAATCATAATTTTTTATTATTTTGGATTGACATGAGAGTGAGTACATGATGATGATGGTGTTTTCATTTAATGTAATTTTGGGTGAACTATCCCTTTAAGTGCCAAAAAAAAAAAAAAACTACAAATGACACCAAGCAGCTGGCAGTCCCTCATTCACACATTTCCCCCAGTATGACTCATTTGGACGCAGAGCATCTCTCTCTGCTTTAAGTGCGGACTAACCTCTAATGTGGTTAAGACTATTTTTGTGACGGAGGAGAAGTAGGCGTCCCACAGGAACTGAGTCTGCTGCCGCAGTGCCAGGATTCTGTCTGAACCCACAGACCTGGTGATAGATGGAACCTGAGAGATAGAGAGAGAGATTCAGTGGTTATTAGCAGTTTGTTCAACAGTCCAACCTTTGAGCTTTCTCTAATTCAACCCAACTCAGTATTGAGTTCTCCACTATTTTCTTAATATGTTTAGTCTTTTATCAAGGTTATACAAGCAATGCAGGAGTTGGACTCTCCCAATAGTTTTTATCTGTCCTGTGTTTCAATAACATCTTCAATTACACCGTGACAGATTAATAAAACAATCTCATCTGAAATATGACAGACAAACTGTTAATGTAGTGCATACTACCATATTTTCATTTGTGTGCTTTAACGTTGCCTACAGGTCCTACACAATGGAGTTTAAGCCTCACAGTCATGACATTTTCTCAGTTCTCTCCAGAATAAAAGTGCTTATTCAGCTTCGAAACTGTGGTGGCATTTGAACACTAATATGTAAAAGAGATGGAACACAAAACAACCATTAATAATCTTCACATATTAAAAGAAATGCAACATAAATTTTCATGTCATACACAAAAGGTTAGAAACCATGACAAATTATTTTTTTAAAACAGTATAAGTAATAAAATAACATCTTTTTTTTCCCTTTTGTTCTATCAATCTAATAGACATCTATCTATCTATTTAGAAGGTTTATAAATCAAACATAAATAGCAGATAGAAAAAAGATACACTGTCAACCTCAAATTAAGCTTTAGCGTTAGTTCTGGCAGGCCACGTGAGTCAAGCTTGCATCAGCTGATCACATGAATATTCTAATATTGTAATGATTTACTTTGGCACTTAGTACAATGATAATTAGACAAAGGTCAATTATTTAGTTTTGAAAAGTTCTCTTAATAATATGGAGCTTAATACCTTTTCTTATACAACATATATGGAACTTTATGAAAATAATTGTAAAAGGATGTAGCTTTGTATTTTGGTGTTCTGAAAATTTTTGTCCTACACTATGAAATTAATGGGTTAATAAAACATTGCAGTCATACTGTAGGTGAAATGTGGGTATTTGAATATTTGTGAGAAAGAGAGAGTCTAAAATGTCATTCAACACTGCATTCGATGCCACCAGCAAAATTTTAAAAGTCAGATATTTTTTATAATAATAATAATAATGTTTAATTTACATAGTGCTAGAACTGAGCCCTGTGGCACACCCCTTCTGGTGTGGGAATGCTGTGTGCGTCTGGCTGCCGCTCCGCGCTGGGTTGTGTGTTTGTTTGTGATCGTCTGTGTTCGCTACTTTACTTCACTTTTAAAAATTAGAAGAGACTTAATTAATTGTGTCATGCTAAAATATGAAAATATCAATTGTCTCTGCAAATGAAGGCTAATTTCTCCTTCTGAATTTTGGGGAAATAGTGAATTGGCTTGAATAATTAAGAGCTTGGGGAAAAGTGTGATATCAATTTTGAAACCACTCTTAGAACCTCCTGGGATTCATTGCTGCTTCTTTTTTCCCCCTCATGAGAATTTCAGCAGCATTTAATTAAAGCTCCCAGGGCTGCGAGTGGTCATTTTAGAAAATGTGGGAAAAAAAGCAGGATTTTCAGTCTGCTGTTAAGAGGAATGATGGAGGGTTTAAAACAGATTATACAGTAGTGGGGTCTCAGTACAATTACATTATTATAAAGAAGACTATGTGTTTGTTAGTGTTTTGGGGGGATTGTGCACTGATAGTCTGATGCGAGTGTGTGTGTGTGTACCTGCAGCAATATTCTCTCATCTCCAATGATGGCAGCTTTACTCCAGTCAATGACCTCTGAGAAGGGCAGCTCCCATCCGTTACTCAGCAGCACAGGAATACAGGCTGCCTGCAAAACACACACACACACACACACACACATCCATATCAAATCCTCAGCCCTCTACACAACTGCCACCAACAACTGTACAACACTTTCACAGTCTTCATTTCAATCGATAAACTGTTGTCAAAACGCACATTGACACCTTGAAACAATGTAATTTCTTCCATGGACATTTTCATTTGCCAATAGTTTGTAGATTCCGCAAGATTGTAAAGTTGTATCCATTCATAAAATTGAATCGACCTGAGCTAACTTGAACTAACAATCAACAGTTCTAACTGTACTAACATTAAAAATATAGTCCACTTGAAAATGAAAAATCTGTCAAGATTTGCTTACACTCATGTCGTTCCAAACCTGCACAAATTTCTGTTTTCAGTGGAACACAAAAGAAGGTAAGTTTGTTTACATTGACTTCCATTATATGGAGAAAAAATACAATGGACGTCAATGGGAACCGAAACTGTGGTTACCAACATTCTTCAAAAAAATCTTCTTGTGTGTTCCACAGAAAACAGAAAATCATACAGGCTTGAAACTACAGGTGTAGTATCACAGAATTTACATTTTTGGGTAGACTTCATTTAATAAAGAGAGAGAAATACTGTAACAAACATTTCTTTATTTACTCATTCATTTATTTAATCTTTACTGTGTTAGTTATGGTTTCTTGCACCACAACAGTCACACATTTTTATGGAAATTTTTAACCCTCTAACATTGTGATTTCCAAACCAGTCAGGCCTGTCAAAGTGGGTAGATTTTTCCATAATAAGCTGCAAAGTGGACAAAACTTTATGTTGATGCCAATATGACATTGTTACAGAATCTCAAAGCAACATGTGCTGAAATTTGGAACTAACTGACTATGACTATGACTGACTAAGGTCAGACTGACATGATTAGGAATCTTGTTAAAAAAAATAAAACCAAGCAAAACATTTTTTAATGTGAAGAACCAGACACTGCACAATGTTTGGTTACTTTCCTTCATTGTTTATATGCCTGGTATAATAATATCTTCCTCTGGGTGTTTAAGAATTTAAGTGCATTTCCTATTTCCACGTTATTCTGATTGTAATGTTTTTATAGCAAACTGAAGTCTATTAAAAAAGATAAAGGACAAGTCAAGGAAAATGTTCCTCCAGATGTACTTTTGTACTTTTTTTCCTCAAAAGAAAAAAAAAAATTCAGTCACACATGAAGGACAAGGACATCCATGTTTACTAATCTTTTTGGTGGAACAAAATATCAAATAGTGCTCAACATTGAAAAGCCTGATCCAAATGAACACACACATACAAAAAATACTTTCAAAAATGTTAATATGCAGCAGAGGCGATTACTTTTTTCTGATGTTAAAACAGTAGCATCAGCTATGCCATAACGGAAACTCTAGAGCAATAATATACCTTTGTTCTTACTCAGAAACAGCAATGTCATGTGCATTATGTTGAAACACATGCTTGTTTTTGATTGCTATAGTGTTTTAATATGTCACACATTTATAGTACACTACTGTAATGGTCAGTTTAATAACACTGTTGGCTAAACTACCTTTGATTAATGCAATTAACGGGATAGTTCACCCAAAAATTTAAATTCTGTCATTATTTATACTCAGCCTAATGTCGTTCCAAACCCGTAAGACATTTGTTCATCTTCGAACACAAATTAAGATATTTTTGATGAAATCCAAGATCTTTCTGATCCTCCATAGACAGAAATGTAACTGAAATGTTCCCAGACCCAGAAAGGTAAGGACATTGGTAAAACAGTCCATGTGAAATCAGTGGCTCAACCTCAATTTTACGAAGCTAAGAGAATACTTTTTGTGTGCAAAGAAAACAAATATAATGACTTTATTCAACAATTCTTCTCCTCTAAATCACATCTTCCGCAATTATCGAGAGTACCTCTGCACATAAACAATGCATGCGTGTGGTGCTGCTGACGTAGAACATGTATGCGCTGTGCCTTGTTTATGTGCAGAGGAAGCATGTGCATGCGTCGTGATACTCTCAATAATGGTAGAATACGTGGTTTGGAGGAGAAGAAATGTTGAATGAAGTCAAAAAGTATTCTCGTAGCTTCAAAAAAATGGCAGTTGAAGCACTAATGTCACATGGATTATTTTCCCATTGTCCTTACTATGTTTCTGGGTCTGGGAACATTTCAGTTGCGTTGCTGTCTGTGCAGAATCAGAAATAGGGTCGCAAAAAGGTGGACAATTTCCAGTACATTTCGGATACATTCCAGAAATTTTGGAAACTTTACAGGATTTTTTTGGCATATTCCAGGGATTTTTGGAAAGTTTCTGGAAATTTACCAGAAATGTTCCACCCCTTTGCAACCCTAATCCGAAAGCTCTCGGATTTCATCAAAAATATCTTGATTTGTGTTTCAAAGATGAATGATGGCCTTACGGGTTTGGAACGATATGAGGGTGAGTAATTAATGACAGATTTTCTATTTTGGGGTGAACTAATCCTTAAAGTATTTTGTGATGTCACCCACTTTTGCTTTGCAGAATGTTTATTTGGATAGAAGGTTATTAGTAATAATAATAACAACATGATGAGTAAACCTAACAGTAAACTGTACTGTCACCTGATAATTATATATATAAAAGTTGCTATTCAGAAATATTTGACTTCTGAATGCCACTGACCAATCAAGATCAAGTATTCCAGAGAGAAGTGTAATAAAAATTTTAACTTTTTGTTTCTGAAAAAAGAGAAAAGTTTTGTAAACTGAATTAAAACTTTAACATGTGCAATGTGATATGAATGAAATATGATATTATTCGGCTGAATGGAACTGAGTTTGATCTGTGCAGAAAGGGACATTTTACCTAATATCTGAATTTGGCGAAATCTAACAAAACAAAACAAAACATAATTCCAAATCGCAAAGAGCTTGATTGACAGGCGATCTGAAAAGCGCTATATAAATGTAAGGAATTATAAAAAAGATCGACTGAATTGAAACTTTTTCAATATATCTATATATAAATGTGTGCGGAGGGTTAAGCTGTGCTGTTGTTGGCTGCCACAGTTGACATAAAATTCTTTCTGATGTTTATTTATGTTCATTTCGTGCTTTACGTAGATATGAAAAGACGATCGGTTCACATGTTTGAACTGAGGCAATACAGTGATCTGTCACGACACATTGAAGAGCAACAAAACAGTATTTATTGTTTTAATTTCTTTAAAAATGACACAATTTGAAAGCTGAGAGTCCTGAGACCTTGTTTCATACCAGAAGTAACCTGCTCTGTATTGACTGTCTGCACGTTGTCAGTTTCCTCTTTGCTCTGCGATGTATTTTTCACTGGGGCATTGTTTGTTGGGGATAGCAACAGTAACTAAGGAGGGCGGGTCTTTGCTAATGGTCAATTATGATGTTTAGATGTGGGTAAATAGGAATTGTTAACACTACAATAATAACCAACATGATAGATGATTTAAATTATATAAAAAAAAAACGTTTAAATATATTTCGATCAAAAATATGAATTATGAAAACATTGTCAGTAAGCACCATATATGTTGTACGCTTGAGAATTGAACTTTGAACTTAAATGTAACTATTGTACGAATTAATAATTTCATGTAATTTAACTGTTTTGATCAACCTCTGTAGGGTCAACACGTTCTCACTCCCAACTCGTCACATATTGACCTAAATAGTCCTATAGTCCTCCATTGTTTTCAGTTGTTAGTCTTAAAGGGATAGTTCACCCAAAAATGAAAATTTGATGTTTATCTGCTTACCCCTAGGGCATCCAAGACGTAGGTGACTTTGTTTCTTCAGTAGAACACAAACGTAGATTTTTAACTCAAACCGCTGCAGTCTGTCAGTCATATAATGGAAGTGAATGGGAATCACGGCTTTGAGAGTCAAAAAACACATACACAAACAAAACCAAATTAAACCCTGCGGCTCGTGACGATACATTGATGTGTAAAGACACGAACCGATCGGTCTGTGCAAGAAACTGAACAGTATTTATATTGTTTTTATTGACTGTCTGCACGTTGTCAGTTTCCTCTTTGCTCTGCGATGTATTTTTCACTGGGGCATTGTTTGTTGGGGATAGCAACAGTAACTAAGGAGGGCGGGTCTTTGCTAATGGTCAATTATGATGTTTAGATGTGGGTAAATAGGAATTGTTAACACTACAATAATAACCAACATGATAGATGATTTAAATTATAAAAAAAAAAAAACGTTTAAATATATTTCGATCAAAAATATGAATTATGAAAACATTGTCAGTAAGCACCATATATGTTGTACGCTTGAGAATTGAACTTTGAACTTAAATGTAACTATTGTACGAATTAATAATTTCATGTAATTTAACTGTTTTGATCAACCTCTGTAGGGTCAACACGTTCTCACTCCCAACTCGTCACATATTGACCTAAATAGTCCTATAGTCCTCCATTGTTTTCAGTTGTTAGTCTTAAAGGGATAGTTCACCCAAAAATGAAAATTTGATGTTTATCTGCTTACCCCTAGGGCATCCAAGACGTAGGTGACTTTGTTTCTTCAGTAGAACACAAACGTAGATTTTTAACTCAAACCGCTGCAGTCTGTCAGTCATATAATGGAAGTGAATGGGAATCACGGCTTTGAGAGTCAAAAAACACATACACAAACAAAACCAAATTAAACCCTGCGGCTCGTGACGATACATTGATGTGTAAAGACACGAACCGATCGGTCTGTGCAAGAAACTGAACAGTATTTATATTGTTTTTTACCTCTGATGCACTGCAATGTCTGAACTGTCTTGAGTGCGTGTCCTCGACAGCCGTGATGCGTGATGCGTCTTCTTCTTCTTGCTTTATGGCGGATTGCAGACTTATAAGTGCATTACCGCTAGTGCTGAGCGATATACAGGTTCATACTGAATACCGGTGTTTATTTTTGTTATGATATAAATTTTTTAAAATATCGCAATACCGGTGTATGTCGCTTAAACAACATTC